TTTTAATGTGCCTGTCCTTTTAATTCTTAGCCATAAGGCCATCAGTGGCAGAATTCAACCATTTCCTACATTGGCTAACATTGTATTCTGGCTGACTAGATTAGTCTAACATTTTGTAGTTTATATTTGCACTGTTAACGATGTGTGCTGCTGGTATTTGAAGAACATTTGCCTCTGTTCTTTCACTTTAACTTCATACGAGCGTTTTTTTTACTCTGTGCCAGGCATTCATTGCTTTTCTTACAAATACAAGTCATTTCTTGAGGCAGCTGTTTTTTGAGTTTTCTTTCTCCATTATCCCATCCCCTCTGAGCAAGCATTCTGGACTTGGTGGTAAGTATACAGGTCTTGGCAATACTCGCCTCCAAAACTGTGTTCGATCAGTCTTTGCCTGGTGTTTCTGGCATGCCAGCCTGAGGTGTTGGGGTTAGCCTGTACCGGATCATGATCATTCTTATCCTCTGTGGGTCAGACAAGCTCACTTTCTAAGACCCTCGGTGGAGCTAATCCACATGTCTTGGCTATGTCGTACAATAAGTAATGTTGCCAGGATCATACCTCATATATATCTTTGGGGGCCTGTATAGTGACGTGCCACCAGATCTATCTAGGCACCTGACTCTCATTTTCAAAGTTCCTTTTATGATGGATCTGGTGGTTTGATGGGCAGCATTATAATTTTTCCTCTGAGAGAGTCTGGGGATTTGAAACAGGAGTCATTAAGCAATATGTTCTATGGGGATAAGAGCCATCTCCTGCAACAAATCTATTAGGAGGAGACTTTCCCCTGTAACTATCACAGATATTAATTATTTAAGAAAACGAAAAAAAAAAAATATCTTGCCTAGCAGCCAGACCTCTTGAGAATGTAAAAGTCATGACATGCTGTTGGGTACTGTGCTACTATGTCTGTGATTAAGAGCTTTTCATCAGAGACAACTTACATGTTGATAAAATGCAAGTCCTTTCTGTGCCTTTAGGCCATCTAATTTCCTGAGGGCTGGCACCCTGAGCAGAGCGTGGGTGCAATTGGTAACCTACAGGGCAGATGGAAATGCACTTTGCAATAAATTATTTTATATCTCTTGGTGCTGCCTCTCTCGGGGGAATTTAATATAGTGGCACTCAAATTGCTATATGCATGCCGAGGCATCAGACTGGCTTATACATGTGATATCCCTGACAGTTCTCTGAAAGGATGCTGTTACCAGGAGCCCCTTGAGTGGTGGTAACTAATTATCACAGGTGTAGCATGGCTCCTGTGTTTGACTCTCAACATACTGTTGTAACTTCTCGTAAAGGTTCAGAAGAGTTTATATGGCAAAGCAGTGATGAATTCCTCCTTCTGGCAAATAGTAGAGAATATTTGTAGGCCTAAAAATCCTCTTCTATGATTACAGCTGAGCTGCGCTCTCTGTCCAGTGAGCCACAGACTCTTCTTCCCTCTCTTTCTGCGAGACTGAAGTTATTAAAAATAAAGCCAATAGTATTTTGGTATTCTACCAGTCAGCCACAATTGCTCCCTTATAAGTGTGTGTGCGTGCGTGCCTGTGGCTGTACTTTGCTAAACGACCGGTTTAATGATGAAACGCAGCTGGCATGGCCAACCTCCAATGTAGGTTTTTTCCACTACAGAATATTTCTTCCCTTCCACCTACATCCAGCTGCGTTCCTTTTAAGAATACCATTGGAGGCGTGCTTCTTCGGCCACCCTGTTGACACACCTCGCACTGGGTGCAAATTTTTGCACCCATTCTGTGGCCTTTTTATATCTCTCTGTTTGTAAAGGTATCCTCAGAGAATTTCCAACACAAGCTTGTAAGATTCCCCTCTCAGTGGTACGAGAAATGCATGCTGCAGAGTATTTAAGATCGCAAGGAGGTTGGGAGAGAAGCTGATTAGTAAGCCTGACAAATTATTCCAGTATGTGTGGCCTTTTGAACACGTGTTTCTGGTGCATACATGGTTTGCACACTGGTACTGTGGATATGAACGGCCTCGTTAAAGGCAAAAGCAAGTGAAAGTTTGTCCCAATATGCTTACGTCTTATTTCCTTGGGATAAGTTTGAATGAAGCTAAATACAATTCAGCCAGTTAATTTTCTTGGCCTAATTAGCACGTTTGATAATACAGTGAGAATGTTTTTATTTTACATAGTGCTGTCACTTCAGAAGTGTCATGCAGTTGCGGCCAGATGCTAAGATTTTGACATGTTCTGCAGGACCCGCCATGTAGCTGCTGCCATTTAGATTAAATCTCGTTCCACATGCTGGCTGCTTCTGTAGCTTCACATTTTTTAGTTGTAAGTTTAAAATGACAACCTCCGCTCTACCTTTGCTTTCTGATCAGAGGCAGTAGAGCAAAAGAAGCAGCTGCGCAGAGGTAGCAGTGCTGCTGTTGGAAACACTGCGCAAGGGACCCCTAAAGAGTTCCTTGCAGAGCAGCTTAAGCTTTAAGCTGCTCTCCTCTCCCATTTCTAAGTGCTTTAGCTAGACTTGGCAAGGCACAGAGCACCACTTGAATGGGAGCAGCTATAGGGTGAGAAGGACTGAGAACCTGTCCACAGGCAAGAAACCGGCAATAAACTTACACAAAACAAAAGGGTTTTTTTCCCAACTGGAAATTGTAGCTGGTATTAAGAATTGGTACCAACTGATATTTTGATCAGATCCAAAATTGGGATCTGGCTTCTAGTATTGTCTAGCAAAATCAGTGCAGTTGGAGGGTATGTGTTTCATCCCCAAACAAATATTTTCATGCTTTTCAAGTGTCTGTCATAG